TAAAAGAAATAAAGTACAAGTAAAATAAATAAATAATTTTAATTTCTAAATTTTATATATTAAAAAAAACTATTTTAATATAAAGTAGTTCTAAAATATTTATAATTTTATTAAATATAAATTATTTTAATTATTTTTTATCTTCTAAATTTAATTTTATTTATCCATATGTAATGTAATATAAATATATTTATATAAATGAATTAGTTATTTTAAAAAATAGCAGTATAGGCCAATTTACTATAAAATTAAATAATACTAATAATAACTTCGAAAAAGTTAAATTAACATAAATAATAAAAATTAAAAGATAAAATATAATATAGTACAGCGAAATTAAAATTTAATAAATTTACATTTCAATTATTAAAATAAATTAAATAAATAAATTTTAAATGAAATTATAATACAGAAATTGTAATTAAAACATAAATAAAATTAAAGTAGACTAATTAAAGTAACATAAAAATAATAATTATAAAAGAAATAAAGTATACAAATGATCAAGTAAAATAAATAATAAATAATGTAACCTATTATGTTATATAACTATTAAATTCAGAAAAATAAAAATATTATTTATCAAATAACCTCTTACATGAATAATAAAATTGAAACAAATTATAAATTTTTAGTAAATAATTCTAATTTAAATAAATAATTTTAATTTCTAAATTTTATTTAGTAAAAAGATTAATTTTATTATAAAATAATTCTAAAATAAATTCATTAAATATTATTATAATATAATTATAATTTTTTATATTATTTATCATTTTATTTTAATTATTTTCTATTTTTTTATAATAACGTTTTAATTATATTTTTCGCTTAATTATATTTAATTTATTTTATTATATTTTAATTTATTATATGTTTATATTTTAATAATGCGATATATATTAAACTTTACTAGAACATAAATATATATTTATATAAATGAATTAAATATTTTAAATAATTAAATTAAAATAAAGTAAGATAAAATATAGTAAGATGAAATTAAATTTAATAAATTTAAATTTTAATTATTAAAATAATTTGAATAAATAAATTTTAAATGAAAATATAATACAAAAATTGAATTAAAAAATAAATAAAATTAAAATAGACTAATTAAAGTAACATAAAAATAATAATTATAAAAGATATAAAGTATACAAATGATCAAGTGAAATAAATAATAAATAAAGTAACCTATTATGAAATAATAAATTAAGTAAATATAACTATTAAATTCATATAAAAAAATAAAAATATTATTTATCAAATAATCTCTTATATACAATATAAATAAAAAAATCGAAACAAATTATAATTTTTTAGTAAATAATTCTAATGTAAATAAAATAATTTTAATTTCTAGATTTTATTTATTAAAAAAATTATTTTAATACAATATGAATAAAACAATTGAAACAAATTATAATTTTTTAGTAAATAATTCTAATGTAAATACATTAAATATTAATTTAATATAATTTATTTAATTTTTAAATTTTATTTATGAAAAAAATAATTGTAATAGAAAATATTATTATAATATAATTATAATTATTTATTTATAATCATTAATTATTAATGTATAATAAGTTACTTTAATTACTTTTTATCTTCTATAGGTTTATATTTTAATAATTTATAGGTTTATATCTCAACAACATTAAAATGTAGAAAGACCACCAGTTCTAGTCAATGTAGGATCATTTGGACTAGATCATATATCTCCCTAAACATAAAATTAAAAACCCTTAGTAATGAACTATGTTCTCTGCCACCAATATCAGACAATCAAACAATTACGGATTTAATGTCCTAAATGGCGATATGCTATTCTGATAATTGGACAAAGAACTCTTTTTGCATCAATCAATCAAAATAACAATTGATAATAAACACAAGAAAAATACAAATAAAAGATAATAGGGAATTGAAAACTCAATTAGATAACATAAATAATAAAAAAAATAAATTAAAATAAAGTAAGATAAAAATATAACAAAGTAGCGTGAAATTACAATTTAATAAATTTACATTTTAATTATTAAAATAATTAAGTAAATAAATTTTTTAAATAAAAATATAATACAAAAATTGTAATTAAAAAATAAAAAAAATTAAAATAGACTAATTAAAGTAACATAAAAATAATAATTATAAAAGAAATAAAGTATACAAATGATTAAGTAAAATAAATAATAAATAAAATAACCTATTATGAAACAATAAAGTAAGTAAATATAACTACTAATCTCTTACATACAATATGAATAAAAAAATGAAACAAATTATATTTCTTAATAAATAATTCTAATATAAATAAATAATTTTAATTCTAAATTCATTTATTAAAAAAATAATTTTAATATAAAATAATTCTAAAATAAATACATTAAATATTATTATAATATAATTACAAATATTTATTTATAATTTTATTTTAATTATTAATATAATAAATTATTTTAATTATTTTTATCTTCTAAATTTAATTTTATTTATCCAAATGTAATGTGATATAAATATATTTATATAAATAAATTAAATATTTTAAAAAATAACAGTATAATAGGCCAATTTACTATAAATTTAAATAATACTAATAATAACTTCGAAAAAATTTAAATCAAGATAAAATAATAAAAAAAGTTAAATTAAAATAAAGTGAGATAAAATATTGCATGAAATTAAAATTTAATAAATTTAAATTTTAATTATTAAAATAAATTAAATAAATAAATTTAAATGAAAATATAATACATAAATTGAATTAAAAAAATAAATAAAACAAATTAGACTAATTAAAGTAACATAAAAATACTAATTATAAAAGAAATAAAGTACAAGTAAAATAAATAAATAATTTTAATTTCTAAATTTTATTTATTAAAAAAAACTATTTTAATAAAGTAGTTCTAAAATATTTATAATTTTAATAAATATAAATTATTTTAATTAGTTTTTATCTTCTAAATTTAATTATATTTATCCATATGTAATGTTATATAAATATATTTATATAAATGAATTAATTATTTTAAAAAATAACAGTATAGGCCAATTTATTATAAAATTAAATAATACTAATAATAACTTCGAAAAAATTAAATTAACATAAATAATAAAAATTAAAAGATAAAATATAATATAGTAGAACGAAATTAAAATTTAATAAATTTACATTTTAATTACTAAAATAAATTAAATAAATAAATTTTAAATGAAATTATAATACAAAAATTGTAATTAAAAAATAAATAATATTAAAGTAGACTAACTAAAGTAACATAAATAATAATTATAAAAGAAATAAAGTATTATGAAATAAATAAATTAAATAATGTAACCTATTATGAAATAATAAATTAAATAAATATAACTATTAAATTCATATAAGAAAAATAAAATATTATTTATCAAATAATCTCTTATATACAATATAAATAAAAAATCGAAACAAATTATAATTTTTTAGTAAATAATTCTAATGTAAATAAATAATTTTAATTTCTAAATTTTATTTATTAAAAAAAATTATTTTAATACAATATGAATAAAACAATAAAATAAATACATTAAA